TTAAATAGTATTAGGATTTTTCTTTATTGTTGCGTAAATTAAAACTACATTGTTTTTATTAATTATAGTAAAACAGTTGAAAGATTTTCTAGGCTTTAAATTAACCTAATTAAATAAATTTACAAAATGTTTATATTGTTTCATAAAATAAATATATTGCTACAATATTCACTTTAAAACATTAATAAATTACAACTTAATTAAAAAAAAAACTTAGGTCTTAATTAAGTTGTACATTATCCGTCTGCTCATGCATCCGATTCAGTATAGCACGCACGTAACCCACATAATCGTTGCCAGTTGCAAACACATTATAAATATACAAGTTCCTAAATCGCTTTCATTTTTATAGGTTTACTAGCGATCCGCCCGGCTTCGCATAGGTGATTTCTAGATCTCGACAACAGCGCCACCTACCGGGTCCAATTATATATCTAAACCATTCTCGAATCAACTTAATTACACATACAAAATTTCATTAAAAGTCCAGCCGATTTCGGAGAAATTCAGTCACATACACGCAGTCAGAAGAATTATATATATAAAGATGAATTGTAATTAGAATATTATATAAATAAATATACACATATTAAAAAATTATATACTAAATTATCATAATAATCAAAAGTAAATAATTTGCCTGTGGTAGTCCACTGGATATACTCGTAGGCAAGCATTATCTCCGGATACACGCATTTCTGTTTATTCTGTGCAGCCACCTTTCATTCATAACCATATTCATATAAGGTCAGAAGTCAAAACATTACTTTTTAAGAATAAAAAAAGAATTTCAATATCAGCTTAAAATAGCAGCTTAACACTGCTGTATTTCGTATGGTGAGTGTAGAGAACCTTTAACTGGAAAAGAGGCATTCTATCTTAGTCCTCACGGGTGACAATGCATCTGCATTTCGATTCTTTATTGAGGATAGATGTAGATGTCTATGAGCCACAGCAACCACTTACCATCAGGTGGACTTTGTGCTCATTTGTCACCCTTATTCTATAAAAAAGGCGACATTTGAAATCGCAAAATTTATCGCGCGAAAAAGTTCCCGACGCAGATCCATTTTTTTATATAAATCTGAAGTGACAATCGTTTATACGTGGTAATGCTACGCTGCAGCTATATTATGGTTGTGGTTGGAAAGTGTTGGTTCGACCGGGGAAGCACTAAATACTACTATAAAATAACAGCTTAATGCTTCGTATGGTAAATGTAGAGAACTGAAAACCATTTTTTACTATAAACAAGGCATCCCATCATAATCCTCAGGGATGACAACGCTTTGTGAATTTTGTCTTGAATCTATAGGCCACAGCATCCACGTACTTTAGTCTGTATTATACTACAGAACTCGTCTTAGCTGGAGTGTTAATTTATGGATTTACTTCTATCCTTTTTTTATAAGACAGTTTTCACTGCATCATTGAGCGCTAAATAAGAATAAATACGGTGTGAAATCCATTTGCTTTATTTTACTTAAAGCTATTTTTATTAATTCAGTCTTAATAAATCACTCTTCTGCCCACCACATATTGTTGAAAAAAATTATACACAAATATATTATAAACTTTTCATACTTTATTATTTCGCATTACTGAGAATAGAAACGTTATGTAATATCACCAAAATAACACTACAACAATAACAGTTCAAATTAGTTCCTGTTAAATAAAATAAAACAATACAATGAACTATTCTAAAAAAGTATTGCTTAATTTCTTTACCACTTTACCTCAATGTGTAGATAATGATTATCGACGAAATCATAATGAACGATTGTTAACACAATTAAGAAATCAAACAAAGCCTGAGAGCAAGGCTCTTAAGAGCACGCAGCCATAGATTCACCTTCAAGGTGTGGCTTGAAATGTTTTCACGATTCCCACGTCCTATTCTTTATACTTACTTACTATAGTTCTTATCTGATGTCACCTCCAAAATTGAACAACAAATTAGAAGCGAAATGATATGCTTAATAACCTTGATTGACTTTCCTAGTTCTGTTTTTAAAAATCATGATAATATTTAGTTTATTGCAGATTATTTTGTACCATCCTTTTGATAATTATGGTAAATCCAGATAATAAATTTTAATAATTAGGTAAAATATTAAAAACAAGTTATATAGTAAAATATGAATTATTTTTATCCATTTACTATTTGATTTCTATTCTTTTTATTTTTCTGTATGAAAAAATGTATGAATTATACATTTATTCCAACAGTTCTATCGACGGATCCTACCCGGCTGAGCAACGGTTGAGAGATTACGACACAACTTCGCGTCACGTATACCTCAAAACTTGAAAACAAGAGTGCCTATTGCTAATGACTGCTGGCTGTATAATGAAACTCAATGTTGCTTAGAGCGCTATATACACACTATAGACACAGCCAAATAGATCGCCATACAGCACGAGGAACCAACAACTGACGGGAAAGAAAATTTCTCGAGTGGCAGCATCATACCGGTAAGCGAAGCGTACGGGTGCCCCGTGTAATATAGATGAAGTGACAACCTGGCATGATATAAAGAAAATTGATGAATGCAACAATCTTAAGACCGTGGCATTCCTTGGAGAGGCATATGTTCAGCAGTGGATTATGGTGATGATGATGCCATTTATTTTATTTATCCTTTATTGTACATACTGTAAGTTCATAACAATTATTAAATATTCAAATAAGATGTACAAAGGCGAGCTTAACCCTAATAAGAATTAAGCTCGCCTTTATAGCGACATTTTTGAAATGTCACTTCAAAGAATTCTTAATGAACACGGAAAATCCTTACTAAAATGGGTCAGGCACTGCTGGACCTAGGTCTCTCGTGTCATGCGAAAAAATGGAGAGAAAGATTAACTTATGCCGCCACAATCAAGTATACATAAAATATATTTTATGTTTGGAAATTATTAGCACTATAATTTAACTAAACCAAAATATTTAAATTCTGAGATCATGCTCTAATAGGTACCTACTTTATTTAGTCCTCCAAGGTTCACTTAATACTATTAAGTGACGCTTCTTAGTCACGGATAATCGCTCAAAAATATAATGACGACACGATGACTCACCCTTAACCATGTAATCTATTTACCTGGGCGATCGAGCTTTATTCGTAGTTAGAAAAACATTATTTCCTCAGAGATTACACCTATCAAGAAAAATGTGTAAAGTATTGAGCAAGTTTGATTGTCTACCGACAAAGCAATGATTTTCTGTTAGAATTCTGTAATAAAACATTTTACGCCAAAGCTATAACAACGCATAGCACCATAAAAGTGTTACTTACACTTTTATGTGTATAAAAGTGTTAATAACTCCGCAAAGAGAACATTATTTTAATAGTCTATATAATGATTTATTTTTTCCCAGCTATGAGGCCATTTGGGGTTGGATACTAAAGAACGAAAAATAAAACAAAACCTTATCGTAATGCAGCATTAGTTCTCGCGCACATCGCCGTAGTAGTCCGACGCTCTATTGATTATGATGATGATAAAATGATCTCCTAATGAGCTTGTTGCTTTGAGCGAGAAAACAGGGAAACGAATTTTCCCAAAAATGAGACATAACTAGATCGATTTTTCACCCCTGTAAACCCAATCGAAACCTTTGGAATCGTTTTCAAGAACGCGACTACTCACGTATGCTCATACAATGTTATAGGATCAAATAAATGTGATTTAAGGTAAAATATAACACGTTACTTTAGGAATCGAAGGTAAAAATAAAGACAACAGTAGGAGCAGGTTGTTTAGTTTAAAGTAAGAATAATACGCGCATACAGTCCTCCTCATAGTAAGTGAATGTTGGGGCTCATGTGCATCTACATCTATCCTTGAATATGTATTCTGTAATAAATTCTTTATGATGCAACATTACGTAGATGCATATTTTCCCCGTGTCTCTAACATCCAAGTCTTTAAACTCATCTCACAAGCCTTACTATCAGATAGACTACAATATACCCTGCGCAGTTTACAACCCTCATAATATGATATAATTGGATGGAGTGTCTTTGCAGGCCCAAGTGCCTGGCCCTATAAGTACTTCTTAACTTGTCAAAAAAATATAAATAAAAATATATATTAACAAAATAAATATTCTACAATTTTTTTTTGTTTTTCCTTTTATATTATATTTCATGCCAGATGGTGAATTATCTGAGAGAAATTATCACCATATTTCGTCCCGTGGAATTCATAATAGGCGACTATGAAAAAATTATAGATCGATATCACGACTAATTTGCTAAATTGTCATATATTCATCTTGGCTATAATATGTATCAAATATTCAAACTGGCGCTGGGCAGCAGCGCTATGGATGTTAGACGTCTGGTGCTGCGATCGTAAATCCGCAGGCAAATCGTCCCTATAACGGTCCAGGCCTGGAGGCCCAAGTCCAGCCGTGAGCTTTTACGGGTTCATGAACAAGATCCAATGTTTTAAAAGACAATAAAAATTGTTATAGGCAAAATTTAATTAAAACAGTAGTACACATTTAAGTAACATGTAATTATGTATTAGTAACAGGTAAACATTTTATTTAATCCGTTATCTATGAACAACTGTCTGGTTCAGTGATGTGTATCTATGAGTAAGCCAATTATTTACACAAACTGTCCGTTTTCGAAGTTTAATACATTACGATTTACGATGAATTAGCCAACAAGCAACATGAAAACATTATCGGATAAAAGAAGACTAGAGACCGAATAAGTTTTCAATAATACTTGTTAATATTATGTATTTGTTGTATAGTAAGATCGCACAGCATCTTGTGTACAAAATTTACGACAGCTTAAAATATTGATATAGATAGTCATTTTATTTTGTTTTAATTTAATATTAAAAATATTATTTTTTGCACATAAAAATATAATGAGATTATTCATTATATTTTTATATTTTTTATTAAGGTCTGTAACCGAATCTACGAAATATTTTTGCGAGCACAGCTATTAATGAATATATAAAAAACTTACCAGGTATAGCCATGCCAAGTTCCAGGTATTCTTTCACCAAGGGACTGAGGAAGAAGGGTGGAACACCAGCAGAAGAGCTCGCCGGTTCTGGTTCAGGGGCATCAAGTGCCTGTGCTGGGTCCCTTACTGCTTCAGAAACTCCTGCTCTTACGCGTTTCACACGGCTGCTTTCTTCTGAACCTCCTTGAAGAAAAAAATATCATTACAAAAATTATACATTTAAAAAATATAAAGAGTTAAAATATGTCTTTGGTCAAGAAATAGGCTGGCTGTCTACAAGTAATGCGAACAAATGAACAAAAAGATACATATTATTTTAATACATGTAAACTATTGGGAATAAACTTTTACGATAGACTGCACAATTACGGAACTTATATATGTTACATATGTTATTGAACATACTGTGTAATGAGTTAGAGTTCTGTACATATACTTTGCCGTGCACTCGCAGGCAGACTACTACCTCGCACAAAACCACATTCTTATGTAATCACATCCTTAACTACACTTAGAACCACTATAATTTACGAAATTTCCAAGAATTCAAATCATCTAAATTCCAAAAATTACTTATTTCATAATTGCACAAATTAGTGTCCAGGGCTCCTTATTAAACATAGACTTATTTATGACAAGCCTTAGAAAAATCTATTTACAAATAAAGTCTCTTGAGACATCCAAGTTGTAATCGGATGAAAAATTAGTGCTGGCAAATCTGTTGCTGCTGGAAAAAATTATTAAAATCTTTTACTGTTTAATAATGAAGCATCTTGATTAGATTGCTTGAATATCCTCAACGAGAGGGTGGAAAATCGGTTTGGGAAAAATAAATCATGCAATTCCTGCGCACGTTCTCCAAAACGTATCATGTAGAACACCGAGAGATTGGCTACCTTACACCTGTACTCGACGCTAAACAATTTAGTAGAAATCAAATCAAAGCTATTTTACAGTTAGTTACATGTGCGTTAAAAAAAACTAAGAAGATATAATTATAAAAAATTTATATTTCGAAAGAAACCGATTTCAAAAATTAAAAAGAAATGATTTACACACGACAGACATGGTGCTGAGACATAGTATATCGAACAATTATGAGTAAACCCCCGACTTTAGAAGCTATTATTAAGAGTTTCACTATTTTAACCTTTTGATTAGTCAAAGGAATATAAGAACTTCAAGGTAACGCTGGAAGTAAATTTAGGGAAGGATTTTTTTCTTTGTTTTATATGGGACTACCTATAAATAATAAGCATAACCTACTTAATAAAAAAGAGTCATTTAAATTGGTTCAATCGCTTCTAAGAAGTAGGTAAAGACACAAAAAAACATACTCGTCGAATATAGTACCTTTTTTTGAACTCGGTCAAGAAAGATGTTGATGTTATAGTTGAAACAATAAATAGATCAATCATAATTTTTCATAATCAATTTAGAAAAAGCGTTTGGCTTAAAAACAATAACATTTCCTTGGCTAATTTCAACCACGGAAAACCAGAGACCCAGCATCCGTTTTAGCCTGGCGGAGGCTTAAACGTCAAATTTGGCTACCTAACTTTTTTAGATAGCATTGCAAAAACATAAAGTGAGTGTTCATTAAACGCACATTGGTGAAACACCCGCACGTTTTGCCATTCGCGTCCTCTTAATAATTTCTAAATTGAAAAACTGCTTGGGTGCAGTCAATAGTAAACATATTATATCAAAAACCTGACTGACAACAAAATGTGTGACCACCACTCGCGGTGACAAAACATGCAAATCCGTGCGGTGATGACACAACAAATCTGTAGCAATCCACAGAATTTAAATCCGATGCGAATTTTATCCCGCAGTTCGCACGCTTCTATATGGTTCCATAAATTCAAAGATTTTGCGGAAATAAAACTTACGAAATTTCACCGCAGTGTGTTTTAACCATAATATTTTATATTTTAATACTTGTACGTAAATAACCTTGGTGAGTTTGTGCAGTGTCCGTTATATTTTAATCGAAAGCATACGGTAACAGTTAATTTTCACATCCTTTTTTGAGATTTTCACAGCATCATTTAAGAAAGTTAAGACAAGGAGCTGACTTACATAACCAAAATAACGTTCTCTTAAATCTGCCGCACGGGACCATATTAAAGGAAGTTTTCTTACAGTTTGCAAAAACGGAAGCTTAAAGAGGAACGACCATCAGTCAAACAAGCAGTTATAAAAATAACCTTAGATACAGCATACCTAGCTTAATCAAGCGCAACTGCCTTCAATAGTCCTTACACGCCTCGTGCATTTTTATATGACCGAGTTATTATGTGCTCTACTTGTTACATTTATTAATTTACATTGACTGCCACTTTACAGTTTCCTAAAAGCTAAATAAATTATAACATGTTAGTAGATGAATCATGTCAATCAATCATTAATAAAAATACAAGTTTTACGATATATGTATGTATGTATGTATTTTGATGATACGGGAGATATAGGGAAATATATTTTACGAATAAATATGTTTGTTCTTTCTGTCTATTTTAATAATCACCTGCACCTGAACATCCGCACTTGTACTAAAGGGAAATGAAAGTTCAATTTTTTTTGCTTTAAATTTAAAATTAAATTTTACTTTGGTTTTGGGCACATATTCTTGGAATCAAATATACACAAAAAACTGTACCGTGTATTTAGAAAATTGTACCGAGCATCTGAGTTTGATTGGAGATTATTTTTTTACTCTTTTCTTGCGCAACAACGGCCTAAATAAATACCGCAAAGTATTTGTAGTTATTAGCAAACATTCTTTATTTTGGCCGACTTGTATTTGAAACCTGTTAAGGGCTCTTCATACGGACCACGGTATATTACACCCCGTAAGCAGTTCTATCGCAGATTACTTTTAAGATTTTGGGTAAGACTTTTTCCTGCCATGATGGCTAGCGGCCATTAAATGGAACTCTTTTAAGAAGCTACGTATATCTAAGACGCACTCTCAACATTTGAAGTAGATACATAGGTAACAGATGATGATAACTGAGTGGATAACGCAGTTCTTGCTACGGCATCCGTTTTTCAATGCTGCAATAGTTTTTGCGTTTGATATCTGGGAAAGCGATTCCAGTCAGAGGGTACAGCTTATTGAGTGTTCTTGACTTCAAACTGATGGCGATGATTGAGTAGGTTTCGTAAAGCGTCAAGGGTACTAGCGGGTCTTGAGCTATGCCATACGATACAAGCGTTCTCGTCTTTGGAGAAGCACAATACCTCGACAGTTGTGCGCACAAGCGGCGTTGCACCCCAGCCTGTGGGCACACGTCTGCGTAGCTATTGAGTGGGTTAACATTCGGTTAGGTGCTTTTACAATGAATTTTAAAGGAAAACCCTGTCTAATGTAATCCCTAGATTTTTAGGATAAGGACAATACTTGATCGCCACTTGCACGATCCCACGTGATTATCTGTCCTCTTGTTGCTTTGCGGTTACCTAAAGTAGGGTTGAGTATTAGACAGTGAGTTTAGCTTATAATAAAGCCCCAGCTAGATCTAACAAAGCGGAAAGAGTTGTCTTAGTTTGTTCGAATGATTTGCATATACGAGTAGTGTTGGGTGGGCTCGTGATCTTTTGAGTAAATGTTGAATAGGATTGGCGTTAATACACTACTGTAGTAGACCATTCCTTTTGTGACGCCAGCAACTCTTTCCTACATTGGAGATGCTCCTGAAACCTACGGTTGTGAACCAATTTATTACTTATTCTATTAAAGCTGACTGACATATTTGGTGAGATGTTTAATCTCGAACAGCAAAATTTTGATGATGACAGTATCGTAGGCCGGCCTACAGTACATTAAATCGATGCTATATTGCACTTTTACATCAGATGTTTACTGCCTATCGACTCTCACCTGTTTCATCAGATCAACAGGTTGTTCTCTAAATCATTTATTTTCAATCTCAGACTAATAAAAAAGAAAAACGGAGTACTGGATTTGAGATGAACCTAAAAACATGATTTAGGTTCATCTAAAATCCAGCAGTGAACTTTTACGGACTATTAAAGAAAAAATGTAGAAAGATGTGTGAGTGCATGTCAAATAGTTGAAAATAGTTTCGGCTTTTGGCATTACTTGAAACGTTGGTCTGGGTTTCCAATTGATTATCAGTTCAGTACAGTTGTCCAATTACTAATTTATTTACTTATTCATGGGGGCTATGTGTACTCATTTAGCCTTTACAAAAATTTAATTTGTCTGTACAGTAATTTGAAGAAACTGATATGGACAGAAATTATGAATGACCATGCTACTATAACCTGTTACGTATTATTCAGCACAGCAGTAAAAGTAAGTTAAGCAGGCAGCAAAATCCACGAGGCATGGGCCTAAGGCGACAAACTTTGAAAAGATGATTATATTTCATAATTGATTTAAATTTCTGCCTATTAAAAAACAAATAAAAAAACTATATACTACGAAATTATTTCACAAGTGCCTTTAATTATCTTTTAGTAAATCTTTATATTGCACAAGTATAACCGTTGGTGCGTATGTTAGTAATCGTGTAACGTCTGAACGGCTTGACCGATTGAGGTCAAATTCACTTCACACGCTAGCTATACTAGGATACTATAGGTGGCACAGAAGTCAAGATATTAACAAACTCTATATTCATGGACTAAACTAACTCATATTACAACTGAGATTTTCTTTTAATCTACATATTCACAATATGTTGAATATGTTAGTTTAGTCATCATCATTACAGCCAAGTCACAAGTCCACTGCTGAACATAGGCCTCCCCCAAGGAATACCTCAAAGCACGGTCCTGAGCCACCTGCATCCATCGACTTCCTGCATGTCTTACCAGGTCGTCACTCCATCTAGTGGGGGGACGCCCTACACTGCCACTCGAGAAACTTTTTTCCCCATCGGTTGTCGGTTCTTCTAGCTATATGGCCGGCCCATTGCCACTTCAACTTACTGATTCGTTGGGCTATGTCGGCCACTCTGGTTCTACTGCGGATATCCTCATTTTAAGTTTATCACGCAGAGAAACCCCGAGCTTAGCCCTCTCCATAGCTCGCTGAGCGACCTTGAGCTTCCTCATACGGGCAGCAGTGAAGGACCACGTTTCAGTTCCATAGGTCATCACTGACAACACTCAGTAGTTGTACAGTCTAGTTTTTAAACTTTGAGGTATACCTGACGAGAAGATATGCCGTAATTTCCCGAACGCTGCCCAGCCGAGTTGAATCCGTCGATTGACCTCTCGGTCGAAGTTGGACTTACCTAGTTGGACTATTTGTCCCAGGTAAACATACTCAAAACATACTCGTCAACAACTTCGAGTTTAGTGCTCCCATCAACTACCGGCATAGGTGTGACATGGACGTTACACATGACTTTTGTTTTGTCCATGTTCATCTTAAGACTTGTCTGTTGTGAGACACTATTGAGGTCATTGAGCATATTGCTTAGGTCCTCCAGCGATTCTGCCATAAGGACTATATCGTCGGCAAATCGAAGGTGAGTAATGTACTCGCCATTGACGTTAATACCGTATCCTTTCCAGTCCAGTAACTTGAAAACGTCTTCTAATGCAGCGGTGAAGATTTTCGGGGAAATAACGTCACCCTGTCTTACACCTCGCTGCAGTTGGATAGATTTCGTACTCTGGTTCTGTACTCGGATAGCCATCGTAGCCCGTACAAGCACTTCAGCATTTCGATATACCGACAGTCAACTTGGCACTGCTTTGCATTGCCCTACCCTCAGTTCATCATTGCTATGAAGTCTCTCATTAACACTGTATAGGGAGTTTTGGAGGAATGTGTGGCTCTAGAGATATCGTCATACATTTCCTCCACCTCCTCATCGGGATGTGCCGAGGTTGGTACGTAAACCTGTACCATCTTCAGCGAATACCGTTTGATGATTCTGAGTATAAGGTATGCAACCCTCGTCGACACACTCTCAATCTTTACAACGTTGTTAACGAGAGACTTGTGGACGATAAATCCGACACCTCCTTGGGACAGATGGTCGCTCTCCCGGTGATAGATTATGTTACCGGATTCGAGGATTACTATTTCCTCCCCCTCTCTTCGGACCTCAGATAATCCTATAATAATCCAGCGCAACTTGTCTTTCTATTCTTCTAGCTCCAGGATCTTTTCAGTCCTCAGGGTGCGTGCGTTATATGTTGCCAGTCGACTCGTCTTAGGTGGCAACCGAATCTCCACCGGAGATTCTTAGCACCCCCTGCCCCGCTGTCATCATGGTCGCCACCGTAGCCAGGAATAGCGGGGCTACCGGGGATCGGGGGCCGTCTCTTCGTAACTTTCATCATATTGCTATAGTTGCCACGCTTGGCGAGCGGGTTGGCAACCGCATTTTTTTTATTATTGTTTTGCTGTTATCAAAAAGATGCTGCTACCCATCTTCTGCCTCAGTTTCCCTCTATCACCTCTTACGACACCCACGGGAAGATATGGGGTAGTGGGTATTCTTACCCTCGACTACACGTGGTTGGTTTAGTGCTATAAAGAAAATCCCAAAATCTGCACCCGCGTTAGCTAAAACCATGGTCTAGTTATTAACAAATTATATATTGGTACTCTAAAACGTTCAGAGCGAAATTGAGGTGAAACTCTTCGCGGCACCTACCGGAAAGGGCAGAACAGCGTCTGTCGGGCCAGCTGGTTTTTGATTAAAAAATGAGGACGCCATTGTCCCTATTGCCCATTGGACGATAAGTATGATGGATTCCCTTATGTTATCGTCACATGGAAATCTTCTTACATTATTTAAGATTTATTTGTTTTAAATTTTAACGGTTTTAAAACTCTGCTACTTTTGCATTTAATGCTACACCAAATTTAATTTCTTTGGGAATATGTTCAAGAAGTAAAATAGGGTTTATAATTTGTACAGAATTCTGTCACTAGTTATGAATATTAAACAACGATTTTTCCAAAGGCTAAATTTTTTTTTTCTTTTATAGGAATTCTATCTTAAGAGATGTACTATATTACGCTAAATCCCTAATCTAAAGGTTGAAATTACATCTATCAGCCTCGATTCACATTTATAGCTGCATGTTTTCACCACACTCATACGCATGGTTAGTAAAAGACTGCTATTGCATACTATTGGCTTCCATATGATGCTGTCGCGTTCTCTAACCTATTTTAGACGTTATAGAGTATATCGGTGGATCTCAGTCTACTTGTGTCACGCCGCAAAAGCGTTTGCATTTGTATACGAAATGGACTGGATTTAAAACGCCGTTGTAATAACAAGTATTTTAGGAGAAATCGAACGAAAAATAACGTAAAAGAACGTGGCTATCTATCTATACTAATATAATAAAGCGGAAGAGTTTTTTTGTTTGTTTAAACGCGCTAATCTCTGGTACTACCAGTCCGATTTGAAAAAATATTTTTGTATGTTATAGCTAGATTCATGTGGAATAGTATAGGCTATCTAGAATTAAGCTATATCACTCAGCTAGCCTTAAATGTGGATATTTGTTAAGCAAGTCAGAAGAAAAAGCACTCCCGAAATGATTTATCCGCGTACGCTGGTGTTATCGTTAGGGATACGTAAATACAATGTTCTAAAAAAATATAGATCTTTACTCTGTCTAAAAAAAGTCCGCGATACCATATGTCTATTTCTTATACATAAGCCATAATTAGGTATTTTGTGACAAAAAATATTGAAAATTAAAAAGTGATTTATGAGTGTTATTATTAGGCATGGCTTATTTATCCTTACGAACGAAAGTTACTTCATTATTAAGACAATTTTATGAAGATAAACTTTGTTCTTTATACCATGTTATTTGGACGCATAGTTTAAGAGAAAATGTAAAATTAAAATAATTCAATACTTGGCTGGACGCGCGAACGACGCATAAACCCTAGCCGCCTGGTGAGAACTGCGAGAAGCCAGTATTAAAAGCTTCTATGAGCGAGGTTAGTTTAATCATTATAGCTAAAATAAATTAAAAATTAATTGAGTACTTTTATGACAATGATTAGTCACATCTTTATTTCTGAACTCTTTCATTTCACGTTGCTATGGTATTTTGATAATTTTATTGATTAATAAGAACATAAGAGTTTGATAGCTCAAGAATCTTTTAAATTTTCAAATCAAGAATCTACACACTTTTCATGTATTGTGTACGGATTTCTTTAAAACTGGAAAAAACCGCGCTCAACCGGGAGGGGGAGGGAAAATGGATGAAACTTAACTTCGCTCTACATCATATATAATATGCCGACAGATAAAAGTACTCCATTAATTATGCCAACTTTTCCATACATTGCTATCAAATAAAATATTTAATTGCAATTATAAAATGCTTGAACTAGGTCATGTCGCGCATCTTGACACGTGATGACGCGGTTGAAACCGCGGGGCACAGCTAGTTGTGAATAAAAAGAAAATCTATTGGAAATTCGATGACAATAGTGCATATTTAAAGAAAAATCTTAAAGGGTATCTTCGAATAACCGTTCCATCCGTTTGTCTATCTGCACTCGCATCTGATCAGTTGCGTAAACAATCATTCCCATGCGTAACCATCCGTCATGCGTTCGCTTAAACAAGCATCCTCTCTTATACGTTGGAGGTTGTAGCATCCTTAAGGCTGTAAAAATCGAGTGCTATTCTTATATTCATTTTAACTTCGGATATTTATAATCTGAGATTTTAACTTCTATGAAAAATGTGATACTCCGAAAGCTGAATCGATGCATAAATGAGAATTAGTGTGTTCTTATAAATACACAATATCAATTTTAAACAGTAAAATTGCCAATCAGTGCTGGCAGATGTTAAGTGTTAAATGTATAAATGTTATAAATTTGATATGAATGATTAATTAGGTATATGATTAAGCCCCCAAGTAATGAATGTTTGGATTAGGTTTTGAATAATATTTAATATTTCTTCATAAAATGTGTTAAAATCACCATTTTGAATTATAATTACACTTACAAAATAACAGTTATAACTTCATCAACAACATCGTCCATATTAAATTCATAACATATTTTTATTATTGCATTAAAATTTTGTCTTACCGGTCAAGGACAAGCACGTGATGAAAATTGTCGAAAATCTATAAAACGCCCGAAACCCTAACATTCTGATTTTTTTCTAATTTGGGGGTTTGTTAGATAAAAAAATTCACCAACATAGTTATCTTGAAGCACCATAAACCGACACGTTATAATAAATTACAAACGGCATTGAACCAACCGCGTGTCTTTTATAAAATTTATTTTAAACTGTGAATGGAATAGCGTCTTCTCACACTTGGCCCGTAACAGTGGTATAAGAACGATACTTGCGTGCGCTTTCGGGGACAGTCGAAGGCACAATGCTCATGCAAAAGCAACGCATATCATACATTCAAATAAAATCTATACGAAACATAATTAGATTGACCTCTAAACGCTTTGAGTAATGATCAGGTCTTCTGCGAAATAATAACAAAGGTAAAGATGCTGTCTTCCCTAAACATACTAGTAAATTAACATCAAAACAAAACTATTTTTTTCTTTAATTTTATTAAGAACTATTTTTCGAGATGTAACATGGTATGTACTTGTATCTAATAGTTAATAAATTAAAATTTAAAAAAAAACTTTTTTTAAAAACAAGCTTTTATTTAAATGTGCTAAAAATAATAAAATATACTTTTCCTTTAAAAGTATTACTATCAATTTATAACGTCATTACACAATTTATATGATATAAAAGCTTGTCGCGAGATTTAAGTTTCTACTCATTTTTACTTACTCGTATTTACTTAGTTTGAAAATTTTAAAAATTAAAATCAATCAGATCCTGTTTATTTACACAGGTAAATCTCGCGACAAGCTTTTATATCATACTAGCTTTTTACCCGCGGCTTCGCTCGCGTGGTCTTCTTTTTTAGAAACATCATTAAATGTATTCCACGCCAAATTTAGTAAAGTTCGATCACTTTTAGAGTCAAGTCGGTGTCTGTGTATCTGTGTCAGTTTTTCAAAGAATTTTCTGAATTCCCAAAGACTATTGGACCTAGATGATTGAGGGACACGTGCAGAAATAAGTTTTTCAGAATTGCATTAATATCATATGTCTAGAAATATCTACATTTTTTTTTTAATATTGGACCTGTCTTCCGATGTATCTATCCATAACAAAGATAAATAGTCTTGGAATCCAAATTTACTATTATTATTTACTCTTTACATTCATTCATAATTTATTTTTATCAAAATAATAGTGAATTCATGGTCTTATATGCGATATTTGATTCATATCATTGTTTCCATTTAATATTGATTGGCACCATAAAATAGATTCTGATTTTTTTTTCTACGTTCGAGTAAACTTCATAATTTCATAAATGCAGTTCTGATAATGATGAATACTACACGTATGATAAAACAAATTGTAATAAATCACGTTACATTTTAACTTCTATTTAAGCGGGTTGTACAAAACACATCTTTGGAAGAAAGTTCCATAAAAATTTGCGTAAAACAACGTATTGCTGATGTGAAGCACCGACGCTCCGAGAAGTCTGAAAGTGTGTCAACATGTTGAGTATCGTCCCAACCATTATATCAGATCTGATAGACAACAAATAAACCCCCGCCACCCTCTCCATGGGTTCTGTATATTGCCCGAAACGTCATCAATTATAAAAGTTAAAATTAAACACGCTGAAATCCTTATGATTACTTTCATTGCAAATGAAGTTCTATTCGCAGTGAACGTAGGTAGAACTACACTCATGATCGGAAGCAGAAAAATATTCGCCTTGTTGTGGCGGCGAAAGAGAATCCGCCACCTCATATCGTTCCGTGTGTGTCCTAAGAGGCGATAGAGGAAAACAAACAGGAGATGAGGAACATCATGTTCCTGGCAACAGTTCAAAATAATAAATAATGCAGATGCCAACCTGCCTGCCAAGCGTGGCAACTATAGCAAATATCCAGCCTATTTGACAAGTAATGGGGGAGACCTATGCTCAGTTCAGTGGATATTTGATAGGTTGTAATGATAACGGTGATGAGTTCTATTCTTTCGAATCTTTGCTACTACCGTTAATATTTACGGTAGTGTGAAAACAAAAACGTAACATCTCCGAAAATATAAATGATATAAAAACAGCATAATTGCCCCATTAAAACTAAAAAAAATAGTGACCTACATACATGTCACTACTGGGCACAGACCACAGAGCTTTTAGCCAAAAAAAGTGCCAACGCTGGATCACCTCAGCTGGGGAACTTCTCAGATATTCAGGTTTTCTTTCACCGCCGAGAACGTCGTAAATCGACACTTCAAATTGCATTTAACATATATGTAAAAATACATAATAATGCTTATGTACTATGAAATTTACCTTTGCCTTTGACAAGTAAAATAAAATATATCTTTGTTTAAGTAAAATCTGCAATCTTCGATATTTAAAGTATTTTTTCGCAACAGCCTGTTCATTTCCATATCTAATGTGAGCTATGAAACCACTACTGTCACAAAAATCTTGATTTGTCTGATAATATGAAAACTCAAATATAAAAAAATCCAACAAACTGATTTATAAGTCTCATTAAAGGTATAAAAACTAAAGTAGCAGCTTACATACGTCTTACTACTGTGCACACGGCTCCCCATTACCTATAATGTTTGTGAGCAGAAAAGAGTATACCGCAATCCTTCAACTACTACTCCGACATTTAGGTTTGCCCACGAAGTTTTTCTTCACCACTTCATTGGGTACCTATATAGTAAGTCAGTACGTAAAATTTCCCATAACAGATTCATTTGTCCTCAAAGGACTCGTACACGTTTTGCTCCCTTGCCGTGATGAAATCTCACGGCGAGTTACACGGCTCTCGTATTTGTTTAAATAAAATTCATAAAAACTGAAACAAAGCTTTTGTACTATTGTTGACCATATCTACCGAGTAATTAGAAACCCAACGATACCACGAACTATTCCATCAAATAGAGATAAAATGACACAGTGCACTTAATTTCCAGTTATTTACATCATATAACGTGATAACATATGAAGTAGGTAAAATGAAACCTATGCCGACAGACAAACAATATATTGAACTAAAGAGCTCTCCTAATCTCAGTTTTGTGTATAACAGTGTTATTAGCCATTTTGCCAAACGTGGTTATTGTGGTAAATAATCCCAATAATGACCACCGGTCTAGATATTTTTAAGTTTGACAATTTTTGATGCTGCACGAGTAAAAATTCGGTAGCATTCTAAAATTTAATTTTATCAGCTACTTATCATTAGTTTATTTAGAGAAAGTAGAGGGCGCTACATTACTATGAAAGTCAAAACTATACTATCTTCTTCTTCTTAATAACTGGCTTTACGGCTCTGGGATCTAGCCCTTCTGAGCCTGAAGTTACAATATTATATTGTAATAATTATTCTCCAGCAGACAGCTGACGGTTGGCGATGGTATGTCAAGGTGCCTTAGCAGACAGGCACCTTATTTTGAGAATCACATCACTATCAGAGCACTTGTTTCACAGTTTCCACTAATAGTTCACATGCGCAGACACTTAATACACAAAATTGCACCACTTTTACATATCAAAGTCCACTTCAAACCATCATTTAAACAATAAAACAGAAGCTGCAAACCGCCGCCGGTCAAGTTCCCGCCAAAACCCCCAACTATACTATCTAGTAATATCGGCTATAGAAGAAAGAAGGCTCAAGAGCCACCCCAAAACCAGGAACATTTATTTATTATATAAAAAAGGCAATAAGTGATGTTGATTCTCTTAAAAAATCTGTTTCCGTTAAAAAATACGCTATAAGCGCCGCTAGCGGTGAAAAACTATTTGACGATATGAAGATATTGTCATGAAATAGCAATATTGTGTTAAGTTAGTGATATCGTTAAACGATCTCTATTCTTTGTTTGGCTAAGCTATATTATGACATGGTCAACAAACAGTGATAAATATCATGAAATGACACCTTTTCACGAAATAATGATTTCATGAGAATTTTGCAATAATTGCAGGACGGACCAGTTTTAATCAGTTTACATACAGATATAGTATTAAACGTATCAAAATTGTTATTTTTTTTTAGTTCAAAATAATATAAATGTTAATAATACGTTTGATAGATGATGTCATAATGTTTTTAGATAATAGATGTCACTTTTATCTATTATTTTTTAAATTTTAATTATTCCACTTTTAAAATGAAATAACGATTAAATTAAGACTTAGGATTTTAAAACAATTTTATTAATGTAATTATTTAAATATATAAATGTAAGTTATTTATATAATTTATTAGTTACTAAAGGCAAAATGTATGCTTTCTTCATTTGATGATAGATGACGCTGTTTTGATGATCAAAACGTATATCGTCAGCGGAGTTTCAAATTGTTATGCAAAGGTTAAAACTAATTTAAACTAAATTTACAAATATAATATTTTAATTAAAACTAATTTTACGGATTTTATCGCGTATATTAATCTATTTTTATATTCCCGACGTTTCGGGTGCTTTCCAGCACCCGTGGTCACGGGGGAAATTAGTTTTAATTAAAAATGTGTAGTGTTCACGTAAATATAAGAAATCATTAATATAATATTTCTTTTAAAAACACCCGTCATCCCGCCTATTAACTAAAATAATCACATACCTATAATAGAAATTTATCATCTAAAGGAAGAATAATACTTAACCTTCTTTTTTAAGTTTCGTAATCGGATAAAAGTAGCCTATAAGTTGCCCCGGGGTACTAACTACCTACATATAAAATTTTATGGAAATTGGTCCAGTAGTTTTTGCGTGAATCGGTAATACACAGACAGACAGGCAGACAGACAGACAGACAGACAAAAATTCTAAAAACCACTAATTTAGCTTCAGCACACTTTATTTAGTAATATGGACTTGTTTTTTCAAAAATATGTTACAATTACAGACACTGCTTTTCTACAGGTTTATTATATGTATAGATATGGATAAATTGGGTAATAAACGTTATAAGTTGATAGTATAAATTGTAAACGAAAAGTTTATTTTATTCTTTTTAGCGCATTTAAATAAAAACTTGTTTAGAAAAAATTTTTTTTTACTTTTTAGTT